GCTATGTCGGGGATATCATAAACTTTGACATCATTAGGTTGTATACTGAGGATATGGTAGTGACTTTATAGTAGGTTGCCTCTTCCTCTATACCTGTTGGAGAAAGTATCTGCGGGGGTTTGAGATGACTTTTTAGATGCCATCCCGTTTCTTAAAGCCATTAGTAACTGTCTTTCTATTTTTTGTGCGTGTATTTGTAAACGGTAATCACATTCAAATGCATATGTTCAAAAATAATTACTGGATGTTTTTGCAAACAAAATAGAAAAACAAAAACAAATAGTTTTGCACTTTCAAAGAGATAGTTTTATATTAATCTGAAGAATTATGCATTTAACAGGTGTTTTTGTACAAAGAGACGGACATTATAGTAAGAGAATGCCTTCGTAAGAATGAAAACTATACAAAAATAGTTTACAAGGAAAAACAACTATGTGAAACGACCCCATTGGGTTCCCATTCTGTTATTGCCTTTATATCTTTGAGCTTCTCATTCCTCTGTTGCTTCACTGAAGCCGATTGGATTGATTAGTACCATTTGAACTTGACACTTGTTACCGAAGTCTGTCTGTAAGGTGATCTAAAGGGACATAGTTGTACGCTTTTAATCCTTAACTTTTGCCTGGACCACCCTTTCGGGTTTTCAGTCCATCGAGTTACCCTTTTTTGCCCAAGCTGCCTTTTCAGGTTTTCGACTTATCGGGTGTACATATTTTTTCATATATATATATATATATATATATATATATATATATATCCTTAACTTTTTCCCGAACCCTTTTGGTTCGTCCGGATTCCCTTATTTTTTCCTAGGCCAGTCAACCTAGCGGGTCTCTTTTCATGCGTAGTATCTTTTAACTGTGTCCGTGTTCACAGGGTGTGGAAGGTCGTCATCGTCCATAGTAGTTAAGATCATAGCTCCACCAGAAAATATGTTCTTGATCACAAATGGCACTTCGTATTTGGGAGTCCATTTTCCCATGGGATCACCTTGCGGCGGGATAATGCGCTTGATTACTAGGTCACCTACCTGATATACCTGACGCCTGACCTTCTTGTTAAAAGCTTTAATCATACGTTTTTGGTACATCTGACCATGACAGACAGTCGCGAGCCTCTTTTCGTCAACCATGTTCAACTGTTCAAGTCAAGTATGGACCTATTCGTCTTTATTCAAACTTGCATCCTTCATGATTCTCAAGGAAGGGATCTGGACTTCGATGGGTTGGACAACTTTCATACTATATACCAGAGAGAAAGGAGTTGCCCCTGTTGATGTGCGTACTGAGGTACAGTAACCGTGAAGAGAAAATGGTAACATCTCATGCCAGTCTTTGTATGTCACAGTCATCTTCTGTATGATCTTCTTGATGTTTTTATTAGCAGCCTCTACAGCACCACGCATCCTCGGCTGGTAAGGAGAAAAGTTATGATGCTGAATCTTGAATTGTGTACAGAGCTCGATGATCATAGTATTATTAAGATTGGCACCATTATCTGTAATGATTCTTTCTAGAATTCCATACCGACAGATAAGGTTATGTCTGATGAGCCGAGCCACAACGTTCTTGGTAACAGAAGCAAATGAGGTTGCCTCGACCCACTTTGTGAAGTAATCAATGGCAACAAGGATGAAGCGGTGCCCATTAGAAGCGGTAGGTCTAATCTCTCCAATCATATCAATACCCCACATTTCGAGTGGCCAGGGAGAAGTGAAGACGTTTAATGGAACCGAAGGCACATGTACTTTATCAGCATAGATCTGGCACTTGTGACAAATTCATGAATGTTGATAACAGTTTGCTTCTATAGTAGACCAGTAGTACCCTGGTTGTAGGATCTTTTTATTTATTGCGTGCCTACAAGAATGGGTGCCAAAGGCACCTTCGTGTATGTTTTCCATGATCTTCTCTGCTTCACTCTTATCCACACACCAAAGCAAAGTAGAATCGTGGTTGCGCTTGTAGAGAATTTTGTTACTGAGGAAAAACTTGGAAGATAACCTTCTTAGGAACTTCTTATCATTGACGGAAGCCCCCTCAGGATACTCTTGAGTTTCGAGGTATCTTTTAACTTCATGGAACCAAGGTTTGTCCATCGCTCATTCAGTATCAATCTCATAACAGTATGTCGGTCCGTCCAACCTCTCAATAGTGATCTGAGGGGCTTCGTTATCCCATATGACTTTGAACATGGGTGACATGGTAGCTACCGCATCTGCTAACTGATTTTCTTCTCGGGGAATATGTTCAAAGGTAACTTCTTCAAAATATGGGATCAGTGTCAGCACATGCTCCCGATAAGGGATGAGATTAGGATGCTTCGTGTCCCATTCTCCTTTGATTTTACTGATTACCAGGGTCGAGTCTCCATGTACACTTAGGAATTTGATTCTCAGATCGATAGTAGTTTTGAGACCCATAATGCATGCTTCATATTCAGCCATATTGTTGGTACTGTTGAAACATATCCTGGCAGTGAACGGAGTATGACAGCCTTAGGGAGATATGATCACAACATCGATGCCATTGTCGAGTGCATTGGAAGTTCCATCAAAAACCATAGTCCATCGGGATCCTTTTTCAGGTCCTTCATCCTGAAACAACCGACTGAAAATCATCAAACATTGAAGTCGCTATCGAACGTCTTTTATCCCACATGAAGGGAAAGGTAAACATCGAGAAAACCTGAGAAGGGAGAAGTCACGGTCTTGCGACCGAGAGATCTGGTAAGGGAGTCTATTACGCGAGAGGAAGGTATTAGTACCCCACACGCCTGTAGTACTCTACGGTATCCACTCTTGTTGTCTATCTTATGGGTGTGTTTAATATATGCTTATTGTTTACTATACTATTGAAGGTAGGATGCATGCAAAAGAAAGGGGAAAATAATGTAGGTAAAATAAAATTGTGCTTGCTTGGGCCCTACCCCAATGCCTACGTATCCCTTTTGAGGAATCAGAACTATCATAGTTCAGCTCATATGTTTTTGTTTGTTTTGTGTTTTTTATGAACAATGTTAATTCCTCCTTCTGCCGCAGCTCGACCTTTGGAGACTTATGCGTTGGCACAAAAGTGAACTAAACATGTCCTTACCTGAAAAGGGTTTTAGAGAAAGGTGCTAGAACTCACAAAATGATTTGAATTGGTTTGTGTTTTATTACCTTGAAAAAGGGTTTAAGTATGATTAGCATGTTTTTGATTTGCTAAGAAAAATGAGTTTTTGTTTTAGATGCAAGGATGCAAAAAGGGGAAGAAAAGAGTCTAAGGGAGACTAGCCTATCTCTAACCTGATGTTATCGTACAATGGTAGTCCCATGTCAAGTATAAAGGGGAAGTTTCTACCTACTATTAGCATGCATGGTTAGCAACCTAAGGTCTAACTTGCGTTCGAACAGAGCAAGCACATCCTAAGGGAACATGGTATGTACAAGGATAAAGCAAGCAAGCTAATAAGCTCAAGAGAGCACACCTAAAGAGATCCTACCTAAGTTAGCATGCCAAAGAAAGTCTAACAAAACTATCCTATAGGGAGCATGCAATGAGAGTGAAGTCGTGATCTCAATTTCTAAATTGAGTGACTCATCAATCAATAAGAAATAAAGGAAAGCGATAAAGTCCTATAGGGAGCATGCACTGAGAGCGAAGTCGTGATCTCAATTTCTAAATTGAGTGACTCATCAATCAACAAGAAAGTAAACAAACCTAAGCACACCATATATAGAAAATGAAGTGCGGAATGCATGCTACAGGTCTTTAAACAGCGACTTCGAGTGCATGCTCTTTATTTCCTACTTCTCATGGTATCTAGAAAGCAATAAAGTATGGAAATGAAGAATAAAATAAATTTGCGATGATACCGAATGGAGGAAGTCTGTTGCCTCTTCAAAACCATGCAAGCCATAAGAAAACTCTACCAAAATTTGCTCTGCATGAGTGATCAAAAATTAGTCTCCAAGCATTCAACATTGCAAAAGTTGCAGCAATATTCTATCACAAAATCTTAGCTAAAAATGACAACGAAAATGATTATTAAACATGAAAATAATAGAAAACTCTAATGAAAATTCTAAAAGAGGTCCTAAAAAATTCTAAATGTTCTAATATTTTTATATCATTTTTATAATCGATTTAAAAGAAAAGATTAAACTAGAAGAAAAAGCTAAAATAAAAAAGAAGTTAGAAGAGTCAGGGGGTGTAAACTGCGTATAATGGAACAGTATAGTAAACAAAATGAAATATTAAGCCCATGTAGAAATGATTCAATAAGCCTTTTTTTCTGCTCAAAATCCAAGAGATGCCAAAAAATTGGTGATGGGCCTGGGGAGATTTTTCAGTCCATTAGTTGTTTTTTGTTTGCAAAGTAATAGGCTTCAAAAAAACACCCTTGGGACCATTCAGGGTCAGTCTAGCAGAGACAAGCAGACCAATCTCGTTATTTTCAGGTTTTTTGTACCTATTGTATTAACATTTTAACTAAAAAAGGAAAGAGAGAAAAAAATGTATTATCAGGACCAAATAGAAAGAGGATTTAGGGTTAAAACAATTTTGTGACGCATCAGTATCTTCTTCTACACACGAAAAGAAATCTGTTGCGGCTCCGTCGTCTTACCTTCATCTCGCTTCAGACGTTTTCATTGCAACCTCTTCTTCTTTGAATGCGAACTATGCCATCCGCCTCTCCGTTTAATCTTCTTCGCAGTTCACCGCCGAATCTACACTTCCGTCGTGTTTTAAACTCTTCTCTGCAACACCGTTCTTTCTCACAATAGTCACAGCATCTTCATCTTCCATGATCTGAAATATCGTCTCAATATCTCACTTCAATTCGTGACGGCCTTCTTCTCAACCTTTCACCGCAACTGCGAGACATTCTTGTTGTCTCATCCTCATTTCAGATTTCGATTTGACTCAACTCTCAAACCGAAATAGAACCATAGTGATGAGTACAAGAAGTTTACCTACCGGAGACACTCTGGTGATGTTTCAGGCGCGGAGGAGATGACAAGAAATCTGAGAGAATCTTCAACAGTTGCTCAGGTATGTATATCTTGGACTGCTTTTGATTCTACTTTTTTCTTCTGTTTGTGTTTCTTCTTCTTCTTCTGTCTTCCATTTCCGCTAATTCATGTTGGTTTTTCTGGTGCAAACACGTTTTTGATGTTGTTGCATGGATTATGTGGATTTGGTGATGTGCTGATACGTGAAGAGAATGATCCACTAAGAAATAAACTCAGTGTCGGAGGCTTGCGGAAGCGTAGGTCGATGTTGTGTTGATGTTGAAATGATGCGTTGATGATTATAGAAGAGAAGTCATAGAAGTATCGATGAATCACTGCAGAACAAGAAGATGAGATACAGAGCAGTGCTGAAGAATTTGTGGAAGATTGGAGTGAGATTGATGGAGGTCGCAAAGAGGGCTTAGAGGTTGTGATTGAGGAAGATGAAGATTTGTCAAAGATTATACAGAGAAAGCCTTTTTTTGCGAATCAAGGTTGACGAAGGAGGTGGATAAAGGTTGATGAAGGAGGTGGATGAAGGTTGATGAAGGTGAAGAAGAAAGGGAGAGCAAGAAGAGAGATATTTCAGAGTTTATTTGGTGATTTTTCCTCTGTAAATATATTCTCTTCCCCATTTTTTCTTTTCTGCTTTTTATTATATCGTGAATCGCCCTCCTTTTTCTGTTATCTCTTCTTCTATGGCGGAAGTTTGTTAGAGGTGGTTAGGAGGTTGTTAGAACTGTTAGCTTTTGTTTAGAAACAATTAGAAGGTTTTTGGATGTTGGTTAAAACAGTTGGAATTCGGTTAATTTTCTGTTGGTTCTGGTTGGAAGAAGTTTTTCACGGTTCTGTTAGAGGTTTGAACAATTCTTCTATTTTCTGTTTTAAGTTTTGGTTAGAAGTTCTGCAGGTTGGTTACAGCTTGTTAGTGAGTTGTTAGAAGATGGCTAGAGGCTGAATGAGGTTGGTTAGTTTCTGTTTTTTTTCTTCTCCTCTTGTAATGGAAGTCTGTTACGATTATAGTTAGAAACGGTTAGGAATTAGTTAGGCTGTTAGGAGTTAGTTTTTGTTTTCTATTATGGTAGTTAATTAGGAAATTTCGTTATATTTCTGTTATAGGAACATATGCAGGGCTGCCACGATTTGAATACAGGTTTTTTATGTGATGACTTCGACTTGGTGATGTAATTCACAATTGGTCTCTTTTTCCAATGACTTTTGACTTGCATTTTTCTGTTTGCACATGGAGTTGGATGTGGACTGGTCATGATTTATAAAGGCAAACATGAGGATGGTAGGGAAGATTGAGTATGACATGAAGAAATACCAGGCAAAGCTACTTGTAATTTGATCTAAGTGAAGGAGAATTTGAAGATGGATACTTGGCAAGAATATGGAAGCATGAAGATGTTTAGGACAATTAGGATAGGTGTAGGTTTTTGATGTAAATGGCATAATCGTGATGTTGTACCTTTGTAATGGTGATGATTAATCTTGTAATGATTTGGAATGTAGTGACTTGAACTTGAATCTTGAATGATGTACTTTTTTCCACTTTGTAATCCTTTGATTTTAATGATAGTTTTTCCTTTTGATGTAATGTAACACTTCTCTTTCAAAAGAATTTATACTTCCAATCTTCCTTGACTTTGTGTTTTATGTACCTCACACGTCATGCAAAGTTGCATATCACATGATATAAGCGCTTCATCTATTTGAGTGAATCTCGGCTTCCTTAAATCAATTGATCCATAAACTCCAATGCTCCATAAAAACTTTAAGTTTTAGTCTTGAGACACTTGAATGAAAAAAAAAGATGACTTGCATCCCAAGTAAATCATCTAACCAAGTGAAGTGTTTTTGCATCATAAAGTACACAAATCCTAACTTATGAAGATAAGCCAATTAGAACCATCTTCCTCTCTTGCATATAGCCCATGACCACATGGCTCGAGATTCAAGTAATAGGTACCCTATTGTCTGATGAAGAAAGAACAATAGAAACTCTAGCTTATAATGCATTAATGCATACACCAAAATTCTTTAATGACTTGCATCTTAAGCAATGATAGAATCCCTTGAATGATGACATCCACTGATGAACTCAAGACTTCACAAATAACTGCTCTTGAATAGCGATAAGAGAAATAAACCCTTATCAATTGATGATGGTGAACATAGGAAGATGAGGTTTGTAAAGTCTCCATGCCCTCGCGGTCTCTTGAATGCCACATTATAGGATGCCTTGCATTATAAGCAACCATGAAGCCACTTTACATATTGAAGAAGACCAAGAAAGGTCGAGAATAAGGAACTCTGAGGATGATGTATAGCCAAGTATTTATTTTCATCAAATAATCCTGAGGATATGGGATAACCCTAATTCACGCTCCATGTATCTTCAATTTAGACAAACCTGCAAAAGAAATGAATCTATGATGAACTATGTGAAACCCTAATCCCATGAGCATTGATCCAATTACCAAACCTTATTGTTAGTGAATTCGTGCAATTCTAAATGACCTAATTAAGTATGTACATGAAGAATGAGAGATGCGTAAGCCAGATTATCCTTATAAAGAGGTAGGACAAATTTGGGGTATTACACATCCGGCCCAGGTTCATCATAATCAGTCACTAACATGATGTTCTCGTCCGGGAATTCAAAGTTCATGTATTGGTAGTCGTCCACAGCCTAATGAGCCAAATGATCAGCTAATACACTTACCTTGATTTCTTTCTAGGTTGTGTATTGAATATCATATTTGGTCAAGATCATTTTCCATCTGGCTATTCTTCCGGAGAGATGGGCTTTTCAAAGATGTATTTGATAGGATCCATTTTATATATCAACAAGGTAGTGTGAGTCAACATATATTGTCTTAGTCGGCGAGCAGCCCGTGCCAAAGCACATCAACTTGTCTCGAGTAGTGAGTATCTTGTTTCACAGTCGGTAAATTTTTTGCTAAGGTAGTATATTGCATGCTCTTTTCGACCAGACTCGTCATGCTGACCTAGCACACATCCCATTGAATTCTCCAATATTGTTAAGCACATGACCAGAGGTCTTCCTTCAATCGACGACATCAGAATTGGAGGCTCTTGGATATATTCCTTGATTTTGTTAAAGGCAGTCTGGCAGTTGTCATTCCACTTCACTACTTGATCTTTCTTCAGTAAATTAAAGAGTGGATCACAAATAGCGGTTAGATGGAAAATGAATCTAGCAATGTAGTTTAGACGTCCCAAGAATCCCCTGTCTTCCTTCTCAATGCAAGGAGTTGGAATTTCTTGTATAGCTTTAACCTTTGCATGGTCTACTTCAATACCTTTGCAACTGACAATGAAGCCTAAGAGCTTACCAGATCTTACTCCAAAGGTGCACTTATTCGGGTTCAGTCTCAGTTTGTATTTCTTCAGTCTTTCAAACAGCTTTTGTAGTTGATCAAGGTGCTCTTCTTCAGTCTGAGACCTGGCTATCATATCATCGACATAGACATCTATCTCGTGATGGATCATGTCATGAAATATAGCTACCATAGCATGTTGATAGGTTGCCCCAGTGTTCTTCAACCCAAATGGAATAACTTTGTAGAAGAACGTGCCCCACTACGTGACGAAAGTTGTTTTCTCCATATCTTCAGGTGCCATTTTGATCTAATTGTACCCGGAGAAACCATCCATGAAGTAAAATACCTTATGTTATGCAGTGTTGTCAACCAGAACATCAATGTGGGGAAGCCGAAAGTCATCCTTGGGGCTTTCCCTATTCAAGTCTCTGTGATCCACACACATGCGTACTTTACCATCCTTCTTAGGTACCAGAACAACATTAGCAACCCATTATGGATAAGAAGTAATAGCTAAGAAACCGGTGTTGAACTGTTTCATAACTTCAGCCTTAATCTTTTCTAACATCTCAATACACATACGATGAACCTTCTGTTTCATTGGATGGCAGTCTTCTTTCGTTGGAAAACGATAAACCATAATATCAGTGTCCAACCCCGACATGTCTTTGTATGACCAGGCAAAGACCTCAACATAGTCATGTAACATCTGAATTATCCTCTCTTTGACACTATGCTCTAGATCGGTGCCTATCTTGACCTCCTTCTTATCCTCTTTAGTACCCAAGTTTACTGTCTCAACCGACTCTTCATGAGGTTTTATTGCTCTTTCTTCATGTTGTAACAGTCTAGCAAGTTCTCCTGGTAATTCACAATCTTCCTCACTTTCATCCTCGGCTTGGTATATCGGATTTTCAAAGTCATAATTGGTAATAGAAGAACCGTTATCAATGGGATCCAAAGTGGATTTGGATCTGCAGTTTTAATATGTGGGTGTGTGTAAGAGAGCATAGTTGTTTAAAATAAAAAGCAGAAAAGAAAGACATAGAGCATAAAATTTGTATGCAAAATGTCCAATGATTTATTAATGACATATGAATATGAAGTAATAACCCTCACAAATAAACCATTGTGCTTCGGGTAAGACACAAGGCTTTAGCGTTTAAATTATTCAAATATTACATATTCCAAAAACAAAAAGACAATTACTCCTGGATAAAAGTAACAGGAGCAAAGTCTCTAGCTGTCCAATTATTTAGTCCACCCCTGGTAGTTGGGAAGATCCAATTGTCCATGTCGCAGTCACTTTCACTATCCTCTAAAGCATTGATTCCATGGTTGCTGAGGGGTAGTGGTGGTCCTCCAGTGTGAGCCCGACGAACAGCTTTTTGAGCTCCTAAAGTAAAACCCAAACCAAACTTTTCAGATTTGTAGGGAATATCAGGGGAGTTGGCCCCAAATGGTACACCCACCTTCTTCGACTATGCTTTGGCATCCTTCAGAGAAGCCATCTTCAATGAAGGTCTGGTAATCTTTGGAACATTTGTAGCAGTCTTGGTTGTAGCAATTGTCTGAGGAACCTCTTCAAAGTTCTGGCAGGGGTTTCAATGAACTCGCTGTCCATCTCGACATACCTGAAAGAGTTCAGGTGGCTCACCATATATTCTTCCTCTCCATGGATTATAACAATCTTTCCATTAACCGGATACTTCAACATTTGATGCAGAGTAGAAGTAACAGCACCGACCCCATGGATCCAAGGGCGACCCAACAAATAAGAGTAAGACGAGCGGATGTCCATTACGTAAAAAGTAGAGTCAAAGGTATGAGAACCAACTTTAACAGGAATGTATACCTCCCCGTGCACCATTCTTTTAGAACCATCAAAATCCCTCACCACAATATTACTGGGCTTCAAAGTCATTCA